ATTATCTTTGTTAAACTTCACTAAATATTTTAAAAAATTATAATTCTAACTCATTCTAAATCATATGAAATGATTATAGATGAACTCATAGGCTTCCAGTCAACTCTTATATTATTGACTAACAACCTTTAAATTATTAAAATTAACTAAGTTATTATTATAATTTTTTAATTCTTATCTCTTTAGTCTTAATTAACCTAACTCAAAGATTTAGGCTATAATTTATACAATCAAAGGTTGTAATCCTAAAAATTTTATAAAAATAAATTCTACTTATTTAAATCCTAATTTGACATGTTCAATTATTATAAAATAGGAAAATAACAAAAATTTAAATTTTGAAGCATAATTGAGAGCTCACAAAACCTTATTTGGTTGTAGTATATTAGTATCAAAATTACCTTGTAGAGTGGTATTATTTGAAGAGACATTAGCATTTATTTCCAAATCTATAGAACCAAATAATCTACCATCTTTAAAACTTCATTTAATACATTAAAAGAATACAATTCCACTATGGAAAACACATGCAAAATTTTCTCTTCAATGCCAAGAGATTAGGTCTTCAGTGGATATTTTGAAGATATAAGATTATTCTTTGTGGTCTTTCTTTGTTAAACTTATTTATCGATATCCACTAGATGAGGATATTATCTTTATAGAGCTCTTTGCAAACATTGGTATAAATTTGGTAGCAATGTTAGAAGCTCAATTTATTGTTAGGTAATACATTCACATGGATATCAAGATTACACCTAACTAAGCAACGTAACATCATCTTTAAATATTATTGGCTTTTATATCTTAATCAATTATAATGAAACAAGACTAGACTAATTCAAAAATCCAAGATCCTTCCAATCCAAAACAACATAAGGCATCCTCACAAAATAGGACAAAATAAAATAGAACAAAACTGAATAGAACTAAATAAAAAAAGACATGAAAGGCAAAATTGAGTAGAACAAAAACAAAATAGAATAAATCTGAACAAAAAGATGCAAAACCAAACTTTACTAAGAAAAAAGATCAAAAGCCATACATGATTAGATGCCCTAAAAGGCCCTACCTAGTCTTATTTATATCTTTTCCTACTATCCTAGATTTTTTAGAATGTTCTTAAGTGGTGGATCCTACCTAGATAATTGCCTTAAATTCTTTTTTTAGAAGATTTTATGATATGCCCCACTTGAATAACCATCCTAAATCCTTTTTAGAATATTTTATGATAGATCTTACCTGGTCTACTAATCTAACCCCAATTCTAGAAACTTCCATGGTTCTAATTATCTATATAATTATCTTATCTATATCCTATTACAACAACCTTCTGCTATTTTTGGTTGCTTTAGCCAATTTCTTTATGATATCACCGTCATTAGTAATAAAAATTTGATGAGATTAGACTATATTGATTTATTGATTGTAGAATGGTTGTGTGAAGGTCATTCACATATTGGAATAGATCAAGGGTTGGATGATCTTTAATCCAATTTATTTACAAATTTGTTGCACCTTCTACAATGATAGTTTATGCATAAAATAATACTATTGGATATATTTTTGAGAATATTCTTCTATTAGTTGACACTTGAACATAAGTATTAGAATCTAATCAATATATTTATCAATTCTTTGTTCCTTCAATTTTTGTAGATGTGGCTTTGAGTTCTTATGTCCTCATCAACCTTATTGGATTTGAACCAACATGGTTTTATCTCCTGTGCTTACAACAACACTTTTTAGAATCAAATGACTTCTTCAATGGCAAGTTGATGATATCTTGGATGATAATTGAGTTTCATTAGTTGTCACTAATGCTAATGAAACTCCTCTTATCATAGTTAATAAGGTAGGAGCACTTTGTAGTATATTTCTTATCTTTATAACATTTCTAAATTCATTTGTATTCTAAGCATATAGACTTCATTTAATTTAGGATGCTAATTTTCAAACCTATGGAAAATCTAATGCCAATGAGAAAGAATATACCATCGACTTTTTGACTAGGATAAGAATTGATTATAATATCATTGAAGAATAACATTATTTTTTTTCCTACACCAAGCTATAGACCTCAATACTTTAATATGGATTTTTGGCATATGGTTTTTTGTTTATAAGCATTTTAATGACTATTTTGGTATTATGAATTCAAAGAATAATGATCAAGAAGCAATGGATTTTAAACTTATTTAAGTTTAAGAATATAAATCACTTTTTGACTTAAAGTAGTATTTAATTAATGAGCTACAAGCTTAATAAGTCTTTGTTTCTTTGACCAAAGACTTAGAAAAAAAAATGTTCAAAATATTTTTTTACAATTTTTTTTTGAAAGATGCTTTATGTTCTACCAACATTATCAATTCACATACATATTGTAGTAATGAAGCTCCTCATTTGGCTACAAGTGAAGATGTTGACGGCATAAGAATTATTTCTTTGAAAAATTAGTAGTTAGAGGTCATATTAATATATAATAATGCTCTATTGGTGAAAAAAAAAAATTACTCACTTTAATAATTGGCCATTGGAATTAAGGCTGCATCTTATTGGTGCCAAAGCTCAAAAGATATAAGATTTTTTTTTACTTGTATTATAATTTTTTTATCTTTAACCTTTAAGATCTTAGAGTTTATAGATTCATCTATTTACATCTAATTGAAAGGTTATTATCCAATCTTTTGACAATCTTATAAGCTTAGTACCTTGAAAAAAGCTAGCATCTAAGCTTATTGGTAAGAGTTATTAGCTAAAAGCTTGATTGAATTTTTCAATGGAAAGTATCCTTGTTCTATAATTATGCCTGCAAACAAGAATATTTTTGGAAATTATACAAAGAAGAAAATGTATTGATAATAACTACATCTAATTAATTATAAGATCAAGTCTAATTGGTATCCAATACCAATGCTAGAAGAATTATTTGATATAATAGGAGTCTCTAGAATATTCAACACTTTGGATTTAAGATCTAATTATTATCAATTGCCATTACTTATTGAATACCATATAAAGAGGATATTTTGGAAAGTTGATTAAGATGATAAAGATTAATTTTATCATTGAAAGTTCCTTCCATTTGGTTTTAAGAATGTACCAAGTGAGTTTCAAAGGGTGATGGATCTTATATTATTTGGCTTATTATTTATTAGATATTATATTAATGATGTTATTATTTTTTAGTAGTACTTTGGTGTCAAGTTTTAGAATTGTATCTCTTAATTAAAATTCAAATGATAAATTGCACAAAAATTAAATGATTGGCGATGTATAGAAGAATCTTGCAATCTTGCATAAGCTTCAACAAAGAATATTTCTTTTAGCTATCTTTACTATAAATAAGATTTTATTGGAAGAATAATTTATTATTTTATATATGGCTTGATGGAGCTAGGTGCATAATTCAAAGGCCAAATCAAAGTACTTCCTTGGTATGACAAGTATATAAAGAGCTTGGATAATTTAAGAGTGTGCATTTTTATGTTGTGTAATCAATATTAATGAAGTGATATGTATCAATAAGTGGCCATATATGTTTCTTGATGTGAAGTATGTAATTGAATTTTAATACATTATCACCTTAGTTGAAGCCTTTATCTATCATAGATTTGAATTATTGTTGGTCTTTGGACTTTGTTGGGTCTCTTATTGCTACCATATACAGAGTCAAATACATGTTGGTGATAGTAGAATATTTTAGTAAGTAGATTGAAATTCTGGCTTTACTACAAAACTCTTGAAAATTTTGGAGCACATACTAAAGTCTTAACAAATGAAGGGAGAAAGCTCATTAGGGCATTTGAAGCTTTATATACTAAAGCATTAATAGATCATTGTACCACCTCTAAAAATCCCCTTAAAGTAAATAGCTTGGCTAAACAAGTTGTTTAAACTATCAAGTGTTATTTATAAAAGTGTAGATTACTTTATAGCAACTATTGTAATTAGAACTTAATGTTGCCATGGATTACAATAGATTACCACTTTAATAGGTAAGCATCTTTGATATCTTATAATCCTTACTAATTATTGTATGGACAGGAGTCAATCCTACCAAGCCCAGTACATAAGAAGTTAGTCTCAATTATAGACTTGAATAATCTTGACATTTGAGTTCAATGTTTATATAATTGAATAAAGTTCTTTATGAAGGCCATGTCCATGGCTATAGAAAACTTATCTATTGTTCAATATCGTGATATCTTACAATATACTTGTATTTGTAGTAGAACTTATTCATCTCAATTGCGGAGATTCTTCAAAGGAGATTATGTACATTTGCAACTTGAAGTGCCTACAACATTCAATATTAAGGTGTATAATTCTTTGTGAAAAGGATATATTACCTAGTGGTATTTTGTTGCTAGAAGGCAAAGATGGAAAAGAATGTTAGGAGCATTCAAAGAATTGTGCTCTTCATCTTTCTATTGATGATTCTATATATTTTGAATTGGCAATGATGCTAATTGGTCTTCCATAAGAAGTCTTCCAACCATGCTTCATTTGGTGATAAAGATTGATTTTGATTCCTATGTTAGTCACACATTTTGGTAGTTTAGCTACTATTACACTGACTTGGATGAGTACAATTTTGCAACATTATTATAGCATTCATCTTCAACTATGTGTATTTTGTAATCTTAGCTAACTAGGACCTCTAATCAACTATTAAAGGAACTAGAAAGTATATTAGTTGTATTTGTATTTGGTTTAGATTACATACTTTGTGGTTGATTTGTAGCACTTGATGTGTTGTATTTGACAATCTTTGTTTCCACAACAAGTTACAAAAATAAAGGAAAATTATGCAATGTCTTTTAGACTCATTGTCAAGACTCATGCTTGCTTGCCATATTGCAATCCATTCTCCATTTTGTTGCCAAATAGCAAATGAATTTAAGTGAAAAATACAAGAAAGAAGCCCACAAACCCACAAACACAGAAATATTGGTTGAGGTATTTGAGTTAAAACAACGGTCCATGCTCTCAACACCAAGTTGGGGGATGCTCACACAATTTGGTTCTGTACACAATCCAAAACGTCCATAATGTATATTCTATCACACTGAACACCACCTGTAGGTGCAGGGTCCATTCGGGACCTACAGCTGCTATTACGATGAGACAAATTATCTTGTCAAACAAATTCCAATTACTTCCAGAAGTGCCATCACTAATTGAATTGAGCAGTCACAAACTCCTACTGCGGCGTTATCATAGATGCAAGGCTGCCGCCAGACAAAAAGACATTAGGTGCTTGCTTACTCATCTTCTCCAATTCAAAACCTGGTGAGATGCACGTCATGAACTGGTGCTGCTTCAAACTGGTGCAGACTTAGAGCTTCTGCACAAAGTACTGCAGATTATATACTGCATGTTAAGTTAGTACTAACTATCCGGACCATGGAAATCCAAATTAATGCCTTTCATAAGTTTATTAAAACGATAAGGAACCAGACGAATCACGGACAGGGGGGAAGGCACCATTAGACGCTAAAACTTGAGAAGGTGAAGCACAGTCTCCAATGCAAAGTTCCAAAGAGGCAGATGACAAGCGGCCCAATTGGGAACCACTAAATAGGTTCTTAATAATAATTTGTACAAGACCTCAAGAGAATATTAACAGATCTGAAGATTGGGGGGGGGGGGGGGATTAAAAAAAAAGAAAAGAAGAGAAGTAATGACAGTACACCAAGCCATGCGGATGCTTGAATGGCCTAATTTATTAACCCTGTATAATAGATGAATGCAGAAGAAACCTGCTCTTCCCCAAAACAACCTTGTACACCCTTTCTGTTCATGAGAGGATTTATCAACTTCCCCCACCCCCATCTCCCCTCTACACTCAGTACGTTTAACAGTTGTTTACTGGGCAAATAAGTTATACAAATGTCCTCTGCTCAGATCGAACAGATCCTGCGTAGATAAAGAATGAGTGGATTCTGCACGAAAGACAATAATACGAACCAACACAATTTTCACCAGCTTGAAGATTTAAGGACGTAGCGTTGGTTATCCTTCCCAACGAAGACATCCTGGTTGCCTAAAACTCTGCAAAGAATTCAAAGCAAATTTCGTTGTTAAGAGGATTCCTACTCCAAAGCATACAACATGATCCAGAAATCTTGGAAATTAATGAAGTTACTGATGCTTCACGTAACCATTGGCACATGAAGGCATATCCCTGATTTCTAAACGTAAACCACAGCTCGAATTAAAGAAAAAGCAACACCAAGTCGATATCTTAATGGACCGTACGGATGGCATCAAACAGTGTATGTACGTATGGACTCAAACAATGTATGCCATGAATCGAGGAGCAAAATGAAAACAAAGACACTGAATTGCAAGAACAACGCTAAAAATTGCACCAAGCGAACTTGAAATATAGAACCCACTAGACTACCCTGCCAAACGCTAATTTTGAACGACACTACAAACTACAATTCGCTTTTAACTCATCACAACAGCACAATATGCGACAGAAACTTGTACTTAAAGCTGATACATACAAAGTGGCACGGGAGAAAACATCCAGTACCTAATACAATGCTTTTGGAGGGTTCAGGGCGTGTTCACAACAAACGGTTGATCAGTCTGGCAAGTTTTCTGGATTCACTGGATCACCCTTTGCGTTTGAGGCAGGCTCATTCCAAGGCTTTTGATACACATCCCCAAATGGAAATTCCAAAGGTGGACTTTCATCCTCTGAAATTTGGCTGCTTCCAAACGTCCCCATTGTGTGCCGTTGTGATGACCAATCACGCTCATGATCCTCTTCACTTTCATACAAATCATCTTGACTTCCAGCTATACGACCTCTAGCAAAAGTTGGAGGCTCAAAGGAGCTTTCACCAAGTGCCCCACTTGAGCCAGGCCCTTTGCGCGCCCACCACCTGCTCTCACCAGCTACTTGACCAAACCCCTGGTTCCCAAGGATCCCTCGAGTGGAATTCATCCCTACTCTGTTGAATCTCTCTGTATGATCAGCTCTACTCTGTAAACTCGTATCCATACCCCCGCACCCGGAACCAAAACCATCTGCAACCGTTTCCCTACTTTCACTATGTCTGTCATCCAGCAATAATCCTGATTCCAAATTTTGAGGTGACTGTGATGCTGTATAAAACTTATCCAGCCAATATATCTGCTCGGAACTCTCAGCAAGTGGATTATCGTAATTTCTTAACAGATCGGAAGATGCTTGATTCGCAGGAGGGCGGGCAAAAGGAATGTTGTTCGCAAACCTATCTCGCACAGTTGAGTTGACAGAGCGAGTGTAAAGAGAATTTCCAGGCATTGGCGATCCCCAAGGTCTGAGTTGGTTGGGCGGTTGAGGTAGTCGAACAGACGAAAACAGTTGACCCATGGCAAGCTCATTCTCTTCATTACGTAGACGGAAGTCTGCCAAGACAGACATGAGTTGTTTGCCGTTTCCATCCGGTTCCCAGTTGGGATAGTTGGTTTTGAAACTGTACAAATAAAAAAGGCATTGATTATGAGAACACTAACAATCCAAGAGAAGATATCAAAGTAATATCATCCAGTTTTCAAACAATAAGTGCACCCAAAATCCTTAAAAACAAAACCCAAGAGTTTTATTTACAGCTGAAACCAAACAAGTTGCAGAAAAAACTAATATTGGAGATCGATTATAAAACTGTGCAGCTTACTTTCCAACCAAAGATGAGTGACTAGATAATACAGATTTAAGTATGCGTGCACGGAAGGCTGGTAGCACCTTATGAAAGATTTCTCCATTTTGCCTTGAGAACTGCGCCGGTCCTTGCTCGTATGAAATGGCGATCCATACTTAGAGTTTCCATGATGCTCAAAGTCGAATATACTCAAACTGAAAACATCCAACAATTTGCCATGCCAAAGAATATAAACCAAGTCCTTGTGAAGAAAGCTTTCACTGAAACTGAACATAAAGCAATCTGACAGCCTAGTAACATTATTCTTGCACACAGGCAATCTATTGTCATGTGCTACCATAAATTTCCTTCCTTACTGCTCATTCTATCAACCAGTGTTCCCTAAAAATCAATTAATCAGGCTCGGAAATCCAAGTAGTATGTGCGAGTCACGAGAATAGACCAAAACTTCTTTACGCTATCTGCTGAAAACCAATGACATTTCAAATCTCATACGTCTGATTCTGGATAGCGCAAGGACACAGGTGCAAAGACAGCGGAAGGAAGTGCACTGAAGGACTTGGAACCACTAGGATTCAGACTGGTAAGCTCACCTGCAGACATGGCCAACACCTTCTATATAAACAGTAAAATCTTCTACAAACAGCAACACATCTTCAACGCACTGTCAAACCAGGAAACCAAAGATTAGTTTCACAACCTGTGGAAAAGTTATATCATTAAATATGTGCAGACAAGCAGGGTTACACACCAACTCTAAGCATGAAAATAAATTCAGTAAATTCAGCCCAGAAACGAATTACGCTGAATACAGATTCATTCGATCCATACAATCAATAAAAATCATCGTGCTATACCATATAATCCAAATCACCATAGTATAGCTATTTCGGATACTTCAAGCGTAATTTTCACCTTTGGTAATGCAAAGATAAGAATGAAAGGTGTAACAATGATGGACATGATCTCCTCAAAGAAAAGCGCTGCTTTATACTGCATAGAAACAACCAATATATAATTGTTACAAATTAGCCAGAAGGGAGAGGCATGTATTATTCACGCTAAACCTTAACTTGCTCAGACAACCACCAAATGATAGATTGAGAGAACCAGCATTCATAAATTACATGTCGACATCATGTGTTAGGAGCAGCTACAGACGGCATAATGTTCAATGTCCCCTAAATTGGTTTTTCCTACGAAATCCAATGCTAGAATAAACCGGGGTTCGAATTTAGGTGACGGAACGAAAATTCACCTTAAAGAGACCTTCGAACTCTATCCGGACTTTATCTGTGTTTTCAGCACCCCGCCAGTGTTTGGGCATGTAATGAGTATGACTTGTAATTTGTCGCATGACGCCCACCGGGTCGAAAACTTGATAGTCCTCCGTAATGAGCGACCTACTCACCAACAAGATTGCTGCAAAGAAGGCTGTATACCAGATCAAGTTGTGTTTTCCAATCTGTGCAAGCAGATACAAACAAATAAAGTAATATAAATAAATGAAATGTTAAAAATAGGTGTTAACATGGGGATCCAAAGTAACCAACATCTCCACCAGATAAGAAAGATAAATAAATAAATAAATAGGAATAAAGCAACGTAAAGTACAAAAACAGCCACATCAAGCACAAGTTTAGATGCTTATAACACAGTCGTAGCATGGTGATTCCGATTGCAAAACCAAACTACAGATCAAGCGTTCAGCAGCAGAATACTCACGTGCCCTTCTAGAAGAGATTCGTCGATCAAAGAGATCAGAAGAATAACAGCTGCAAATGCACCTGCTACGTACGAAACAAGTTTTGCAATCATACTGATAATTGGGGACGGAAACTGCTTCACATATTCTACAGCATGTTTATAACTTGAATTTAGACGATGCTTGAACATGTGCTCCAGCTGAAGTAAAGACACCGAAAACAAAATTAGGCTTAGTAATCCTTGTTGAATACAAATTTCTCATAGCTCCAAAGACTCTTTAACTTCAAATGAAAATAGGCATGAAACAACGAAAGAAAGCATCCATGGTTACTACCTCATTGAATTCTCGGAAATTCCACTTGGCCAAATTCGACCACCGCCTAGAACTCATAGAAGCAGGATTGTGATAAAATGATTCGGCATTCCGAAGTAGGAAATAGAAGAACATGAAGATCACATAGAAAGGCGACAATAGCAACATAGAGACGCCCAGCACCACTAGTCTCTTGCGCAGACGTGCAGGATTAGTTGTGAAGTCTCTGTGTATCAAAAAGTTACTGCAGTGCAAAACTTACAACTATTAGTTTGGGATTCGTAAAAATACTAGCACTCAATAAAAGATGTACAGCTACCAATTGCATTACTATCTTGAATGTTGCTTGAACTTACCTTTCATAGATTTATGAGAAACAACGTGGACAAACATACACGACCGTCAGCTGAAACTTGCCTGTCAAACATGTGCTGAAGAATACACCAATTGAGGCTCCATTCAACCATTTTCGTCAGGACTAGTCGCTTCTTGTCATGGTTGAGCATAGGTCCTGCACCTGGTACCCAGTAAGGTAAATCTAGACCTAAAACCCCTTTATTTAAAAGGCCAATCAGATAGTTTTCCTTCCGCATTATACGACTCACTATATCATGTGCTGAGAGTTGTCGCACGATACAGAGCCGTTCAGTTTGTTGCAGCTGCACAATTTTATCAACCATTGTAGGCCAGGCCATTGTTTGCAATTCATTTTCTGTGACAGCAAGGCTGCCAAAACACATCCCACTAATCAGCACATCCAAATTCTTCATATCCAAAAATATGGTCGACATCAGAAAGTAAAGCTGAAAGATTTACAACGATTTTGCTAGTGTCAACCTGTAAAGAATAGATGAAACAGTACCAACACAAAAAACCACGTAACACTTGCCCAACGAAACTAGTCACGCTATACGCAAGAAAAACGTCTCAACAAGGTCCATTCAAAGGAGCCACGCACCTGTTGTGTATGAAATGGCGGACCTCAAGAGTGTCGCGGAGCTGAGTGAAGAATCGTAGGAAGCAAAACAACCAATATATAGAGAGAAGTGCAAGATAGGTGACGAAGAAGGCCTTGACGAGGGTAAATGGAGTTAAAGGATGTTCATGTAGAGCCTCTTTTACAAGGTCACAATTGTGAAACTTTCCTTCTTCAATGGCATCTATACCACACTTGGCATTGAGTAACCCAGGCCAATTTACAAATAATACCAAGAAACCTGAGAATCCGATGGTGAAACCTAGTGAGGCAAGCTCACACAACCATTGGATGAATATGCACCAGAAGCCTTTGTCACAGTAATACTGATAAACTCGCTGAAAGAACTCATCGAGGTCAGTCACAGCTCCCCACTTGGAGGTTTCACCACGAAAAAAATCAGGGGGGCCTTCAGCATCTTCACCTCCATGAAGTCGATGATACTCAGGTAGCTCCACTTCAGTCTGTAGAAACCCAAGCTACTGGATCAACAGGAGGATCCCTGTAACACTGATGTTCATAGAATAACATGACTTCAAATGTACGTCGTCATTGGATCAAAGGGCAATTCCCGCATTGTTAGAAAGCACAAAATAGCAAACGTGATAAATGAAGACACATAAGGAAAAGAGTACAAACCACTCCATGCGGGACGCTTCTTAATGGTTCATTGTTGCGGAACATAATTTGAGGCAGCCAGCAGACTGCACTAGCCTCGCCAAACCACCTGATTCCAAATCCGGCAGCGGAAATTCTGATGATCTCAGCAACCTAAGCATGCCTCTCAAACCCTCCTCACCCACCAAATCTCAATTTTCATAGTGTTCCACCAGGGCCTTCGTTCCCTATACCTGAAGTCATGAACCCCGTTGAACTCCGAGGTTAACACACGATGAAGTATGGAATAATTTTTAAGAATTGTGAGGGGAATCGGAAGTATTAAGTCGTTCAGACAAAGACGAACCTCTGTGTCATTTACTACTAACCTTTCCCCATGTCAATCATCTCTATTTATCTTCGAGTCACGCTCCTAAACAGCCCCTTCCATTCTCATGGTATGCTTCAGCACTCATAAATCTAAGATTACAAGGTTGCAGATTGACGTCTGCCCGAATGGATTCTGTAAGGATTGTGATATAAATTTTCGGTACATTCGGTAACCAAAATTGGACCACTCGAAGGAAACTCCGGACAAAACCACACTTCACTCGAAAGATGAAGCGACTACTAACGTGCAGCCACATCGCGAATTCTATCATGCGCCACTCTTATGCTGAGCAAACTTCTTACGCTAAGTCTATTAAATTAATAACAGCTCCTGGGTGGTTCAAGCCAAGAGCACTTACAAACGTCGAACCTGGCAGAAGCAACTGGAGTTGAATGCAGGGAAAACCTAACCATCTAAGGTAAGAAACATCTTAAAAGACTCGTACAGCCTTAAACCCAGCTATCTAAAACTCACATCAGATCAGCACTAAATCGTTATATCAACGTTTTCACTGAGGATGATCAATAAGATACTGCAAACGAAATCGAGACATTAGAGTTCTATCAGAAAATAAACCCCGACGAGCACACGACCTGTCCACGTTAACTTGATTGGACCAAATTGGTCAAGCCTGCCTACAAGTGATGTATCCGGAGAAGTTTAACCTACGTTCATAAATGCCGCAACCTGAAGCACCCAGGCTGCCAATCTTCCACTTCGATTCACCATAATAGTGAACTCTCCGCCTACATTCCGTTGCAGGCAAATTCCTCCAGCAGCACAAACGAAATCGCCTCGAAACTCGAACTCAAGCTAGGGACTTAACTAAAACTACAAATCCGCCAAGTATTGCTGCAAAAGGCAACACCAATTCAGCCACATTAATATGATTCAATCTTCCGCCACCGCTATACACTCCTCATCATAATCCACGCCAACGAACACGCCCCACTCTAAGCAGAAAAAAGAACCCCGAGGGCATAACACCCCGGCACTACCTCCTCGCAAGAATCCTTCATAAATACGCTTCTCCGAATTCAGCGCACCTCCTCGTAATTTTCGCACAGAAGGTCCCAACAACCCGTGTTCATCAATTCTCCCACTCTTACAGTCACGTACAATCCTCTTCGCCCCGCCACGTTAACACGAAAACTACCTTCTACTTCACGCCATGCACATACGTCGTGCCACGAACTCTCGGACAACCGACTTCCCGTCTCTCTGACCGCTTAGGTTTTCTCAACCATTTCGCCAGCTTCCACAACGACTGTGGAAAACCTCGAAGCCAACCATCACTCCAACCAACTCTCTTCAATTCCGAGAAAATCAAACCACGCAATGGCACGGATGCACTGACCTAAACTTCAAGGCGCTCAACCGGAACACCGACCAGCAGAGGAATCACTGACGATGTAATCATAATGTGCATGCGCGACAAATGAATGTGCTACGACACAAGCGTACAAGCAAGAGAACAGGCGGAAGGGAAGAGCAGAATAGGGAAAAAGAAGGAATGAATGAATGAATGTACGCGAGCGCTCCAAAACGAAACGGCACCAATGCCAAATTGCACTCACACGAGGTTGGATCGACGGCCAACCACTGGCCTCCGAATCACTCTTAACCCCCGTCCAATCCTATGCAAGCTATGCTCGTGTAAGCTCGAAAGAAACGGATTCGCCCGGTTTGGGAGGATCCGAAAATAGAGAGAGACAGAGACAGAGACAGAGAGATAAAAGAAGCGAACCGCAGACGATCGCGTGCAGCGGAAGGCTGCGCTGCTGCTGCAAAGGTGGCGGGCTGCCCTGCCCTGTCCTCTAGCGGAACATCCGCACGCATCCCGATCTCCCGAAATGCCCACCATCCGGAACGACGACGATGAGTCAATTGCGGTGAATATGAATTCGTGTGACATACAAACTGACAGAAGGCGCGGTGGCGAAGGGGGACAGCGACCTGTCTGTGGAGGAGGTCAGCGGGTGGAAGGAAAGGGAGCCCTGCAGCTGCGGAATCAAATCAATCCCCCGCCCTGACGCCCCCTTCGTAACCGAATCTGGCGCTCTCCGCATTCGAATGCCATTGACTGCGGCCTTGGCTGGATGAATGGATGGATGTAATGTGGATGATGTTTGGCGTGAAAGGCAGAGAATTATTACAGGAGACGAAGAAGCTTGTTCACGGAATTTTGCATTCTCATTTTCAGTTTAAATAGCTTTTGCCACTTTGATTTGGTCCAATGGAGAGGGTGGTCGTAGGTGTTGAGGGTTTTACATAAAAGAAAGTGTTGTACATGATTTGTGCTTGTGGATTTGTGTAAAAGAGTGACGTGAAGTTTGAAAATGTACATTGCTTTGCTGTTGAGAGTGATTTGTTGGACAAGTATTGCATAATTTATGTCTAAAATTATGTTTAATAGTTGTGATGTAAATTAAATATTTTCTTTTGTTGGTTGTGTGATTTAACCAACACTTGAACTAATGCTCATATGATTTCATCCTTTTGGAATGAACTCACAGATTATATTTGAATTTTGTTAGTTAGATATCTGTTAATGTGTGTGATAAATTATCATCAACTTAAACATTCAATTTAGTGATGCATTTCCAAGATGTAATTCAAGTACCACATTGATTTCTCATTAATTCATCACATTGATTCATTTTGGGATCTAGCATTTACAAAGCCAATCCTTTGGTATTAATCTTACATTTGAGAAACACAAACAAACAAACAAACCATTATTATTTGTTACAAATCAACCAAAAATCCAAAAAATAATATATATTTTGAATAAAAAAAATATACAATTATAAAAATAAAATAATAAATTATGTATACATACATATATTAGTAGAAACCCATAGTGTTAGACACCATAATCTATAGCATTGCTATCTATCTATTTCATTATTTATCCATGTTTCCTTATTTCTATGTTTAGCCAATGAAAAGGCTTTTTTGTCTCTTTGTCTTATTTTCAAGCCTTATATATATATATATATATATATATATATATTATTAGTAAAAATTTCTACCATTATGCATTATTATCTTTAATACATCCATTCATTTCCTTGTTTTTTTTGATTCTATGTTATCATATTTCATATATTTCCTTTATCACATGATGTCACATCATGTACCAAATTCCATTGGATATATGCAATTTAGTTTAGTTTAGTGGTTTTATATCTATTGAGTTTTTTTTCATTAGTTGATTTTGTTAGTATCAACTAGGATTTGAATACTTAGATAGAAAAAAAACTTTGACATGACATTCTTATCAAATCAAGTCTTATAAGTAGTTTTTGAAAGAAAGAAGAAGCTTATGGTAAGGATTTGCTTGGTTGTGGTAATTTGTCTATTTAGTAAAGCTTTAGGATTTTCTTCCAAAGAAAATGTCATGCATGTCCTTGGAATATGTTGAAATATCAAGAATATTTATGTATGCTTGATAATAACATATCTATCCATCACTTTTGTGATAATTATGAATATACTCTTAAACAAAGATAACCTATAATCTATTATTTTTTTAAATCTTGTATGTAGGATCCAATTGCATGCCACATAGATTTTGGTATGTCAATTTTTCTCAATTTCTAGGCCTCACAAAAATGGACTCCTATGCCTATGCTATTGTTGCAAACTTTTGGAATTGAATCACATATAGTACCAATTTAGGTTCAAGTACAATACTGCTAACTCAGTGATTTCTAAGCACCTTGCAATGTGGCTAAAATACAAGCTAAAATATACGTCTATAACTTCACCTATTAATTTGCTATTGCATCCACTACAAACATATTGTGAATGGGCTTTTTTTCATCTCAACAATTGGGTTTGTTCATCTCCTTTTTAATTTCTTTTTCTTCTCAGTTTTGCAATTGAAGGAGTTGAAAGGAAAGACTTTGGAAATGGACAAACATAAGGAAGTAGTTGTTTAGAAATGTTTTAAAATAAAAAAATTGGTAATGTATGAATATCTTTAGCAAGTTTTTGTTTGAAGGGAATGAGTAGTTTTTATGATTGTATTTTGAGTTGGAACTTTTGCAAAGTCTCTCAATCAAGTATATTTCAATAATCACACAATTGGATTTGGTTTTGCATATGATTTTTATTATGAGATCTTTTGTGATATTTGAGCTTCATGAAAAAGGATATATTTCAACCGTGATTGAAAATAATGAAATACAAATTTTAATCAGAATTTTAAATATCACTTATATAATATTTTATAAAAAAAAATCATAGGGAAAAAAAGTCACAACATAAACTATATCTACAAGTAAAGTGGATTACTATATATATATATATATATATATATATATAATTTTTCTAAACTTTTAATTCTAAAATAAATTCATTTGTTTTCATACTTGTATGAACTTATTGACTACATAAACAAAGAATTGCTATTTGATTTTTCATATGATATTTTCTCAAAATGAGTTGTTTTTCAAGAAAATTTGAAGATATATTGAAAATATTTTTAAAAATTTGTAACAAAAATCCTTCACCCTAAATATACAATTTGATATTTCTACAAACATGTTATTGATTTTATACATACATAATCAAGTAGGAATAATTATTCAATATTCTATCAAAAAAATAAAAATTAAACAATAAAATGATAATTCAAAGATATTTTTTAAACCTCCAATAATCTAAATAGAATCGTTGACTACTGAAATTATGTGCAAGAATAAAATAGGATTTTTATTTAGCACAAAAACTGTCCAATTTAACAAAGACTTGTGAAATTGTCACAAACATACACATGTAAGCCAATAATTACATGTATAAATAGGTAGAAGTAAGTAAAAGTAAGTAAAAGTAAGTTAATTCTATAATATTTGGTATACAAGCTTCCTAGAAGCTTCATAGATACTACTTTGACTTTATAGGTGTCTTTAATTGACTTTTTAGATTAGAAATGTGGTCAACAAGTTGGCCATGTTCCACACATGTGGCCCACACATAGAAAAACTTGCCTTGTAAGTCAAAACATGTGTCCTACAAAGTCAACACATATTGGAGGTCCTATAGAACATCACCATGTAGCCCCTAGTTAGATAGTATATATAGAGACAACACTGAAGCCTTCTTCACTCTTGTCAACTCCATTTTTGCTTCCAATCTAGTTTCAAGGGTCTTTAGTTTTCTTGTGTTTTGGCAATAGCCATTCCAGTTTCTTTTTTAAAATACATATCAAGTTATTTCTATTTTTTCATCTTTCTTTGAAAGAAGTCTCACTTATTTATTTGTCTTTATTATGTTCTTGTCCTTGACAAATTGACAAGAGAATACCTACATTATCAGAGCTTTGTCTAATCTTGATTAAGAGTGGATTACCCCTTTTTCTTCATAAGACACAAGCATATTAGAAGTTACGAATTACCCTCTTCTAAATTGATATTGTCTTTAGTATTTTCTTTGTTCTCAAGTCCTCTCTTCTATTTGTCATGAGTGATATTAGACATCTTCTCTTTTCTAAGTATTATCATGGCAGAACTTGTTAAAATGAAGAGTGCAATGGCACAAATGCATGAGCAATTGAAGGAGTTAATGCTTGCAATGCATCAACTCAATTTATGACTTCCAAGAGCAACAAGATTGGCAGGAAGTGAAGATATAGAAATGATTAGAGCTGCTTCAACATCTGCACTAAATCATGTCCCTTCTCTTATAGTGGAACATCCTTCTAATGTTAGAAAACCAAGAATTGTCCTATCTGAGAAGTTTGATGGCACCAGATCCAAGTTTTGAGGATTTATCATTCAAGTGCAACTTGTGATTGAACTTCAATCCCAAACCTATCCAACTCCAAGATCGCAAGTTAGATTCATTGGTACGCTTCTTTCAAGTTCAGCACTATCGTGGTTTTCATCTTTTCTAGAACGACAAGATCCAATATTGGATAATCTAGATGCTTTTCTGATAGAATTTCAATCCATGTATGGAGAACATGATGCAATTCAAGTTGCAATCAATAAGATCCATATTTTACGATAATGCAATCGATCAGTAACGTTGTATGCTTCACAATTTTGACAACTTGCAACTGATATCAAGTGGGATGACACTACACTTATTAACCAATTTCTCTATAGATTACAATATGAGATAAAAAAATTAATACTCAACTTACCTGATCCTCAAACATTGACTCAAGAAATTGACTTTGCTGTGAAGTGTGACGATCGCCTTTTTGAATTCCGATCTGAGAACAATATAAGTGGACCTCAACGTTATTATAATTCAATAGCAACACCAACATCTCTTCAACACATACATTCGGAAGTAGAGGATATGCAAATTGATGCAGTACGTTTTAAACCTCTTACTGAGTAAAAAAAGTCTTGTCATCGTCAAGAAAGATTGTGCTTATATTATGGAAAACCTAAGCACACTGCTCAATATTATCCAAAGAAGCAACGTAACCATAAAATGAAGAGTATGGCAATCAAAGAAGATAGTATGTCGTAAAATAAATTTGTCCAGCTACAATAGGGACTGTGCGACTGGAACCTTGTACAATGCCTAGCAAAGGTCCTATCCTCTCGTCGAAACCCTCTCCATGTTTTACGATAAATATTATTTTAGGACCTAAACATCTCAAAGCCTCTGCCTTGCTAGATTCAGGAGCCTCAGCATGTTTCTTAGATGAAGAATTTACTAAAAGACATAGCATATCTTTAGTAGAGAAAACTAAACCTGTTCATATGGAAGTCATAGATAGTCATCCGTTGTCTTCAGGAGATAATACTCATAAAACCCTTCCTATAAAAATAACAACTAATGATCATAGTAGCTTTATAATATTTAATATCATTAGATCTCTTTTTAATCCAATCATTTTAGGTTTATCATGG